GGAAGAATGGGGCGGAGGCGGCCCTTTCACCATCGAGAGCCCTGCTCAGCGCCCTGCGCCACGGGTGACGCCATTTCCTGGCAGCAGGTGGCTCTCTCTGCTTAGTCTCCTCTTGTTTCCTGCTCTCCCCGGGCCCCTCACTGCTGCAGGAGCCAGCCGTGAGCTCAGTGCCAGGACCCCGCAGGTGCAATGCACCCCGCCCCCCAGTGGGGCTGAGCGGGCACCACCCACCAGCTGCCCCCACAGCTTGGCCCAGGATCCCCAGGAGCAGAGCAACCCCACCAGAGGGGAGGAAGCTTCCAGCAGCAGATGACCATGAAGGTTGTGAGGGTCAACCTGGCCGGGGTACTGTTCTCAGTCACTCAATCAAATCTTAGCAGAGGTGTTGCCCCGAAGGTCTGTCATAGGTGCTTTCAGGAAGAGCATCCTTGGGAACCTGGGTGGCCTGGTTCAGTCCCTTGAAAGGCCGTAAGAGCAGAGCTGAGCTTCCCTGATGGAGAAGACATTCAACCGGCAGGTGCCTGCCTCAGCCTGTTCCCCAAGGTTCTGGCCTGCCCTGTAGATTTTGGACTGCTCAGCAGCCCCTACGTTGAGTAAAACAATTCCTTACAATGAATTCGCTGTCTCCTGTTAGTCCTGCTTCTCATTGAACACTGATGGGCAGGGGCTGATCCCTACCCCAGGCCATCTCTTCCTTCCCCTCAGAATCCAGTGTCCCCACAAAGGCAGCAGAGGCTGACCTCCCACAGCCCTTGGAATCCAGTGTCCCCCAAAGGCAGGGGAGGCAGATGTCCGCAGCCCCTCGGAATCCAGTGTCCCACAAAGGCAGGGGAAGCTGACCTCCCACAGGCCCTCGGAATCCAGTGTCCCCCCAAAGGCAGGGGAGGCTGATGTCCTGCAGCCCCTCAGAATCCAGTGTTGTCCCCACAGAGGCGGGGGAAGCTGACCTCCCACAGCCCCTCGGAATCCAGTGTCCCCCCAAAGGCAGCAGAGGCTGATGTCCTGCAGGGCATCAAGTTACCCTTGTTTCCAAGTTCTTCAGCACATGTGCTGTGAGGATAGCATGCCCTGTTTTGCAGATGAGGAAACTGAGGCTCAGAGAGACCAAGTTCATGATCTGGCAACCAGGAATGGCCGGGGTCCCCTCCCAGCTGGGGTCGTACTGACTAGGTCCCCAGGGCTCCAGAGCCTGAGACAGCCGTGTGGGCCGAGCCCTAGTTTAGTCCCCCCCATGCACCCAGCTGTACACCCACATGCCAGTAGGACTTACAGAGGGCAGGCCTCAGCTCAGCATGAATAGGGCTCCCCAGTCAGCAGTCACCCTCACTGATGGTCACCCCAGGCCTGGAGGCAGGGCTGAGCTAGGCCTAGTGGGCTGCAGTGTGGAGCCTGAAGGTGCTTCCCCCTGAGGATCCAGGACCCTGATGGAGGCTGCCCTGTTGGTGCTCCCCCGAACCCCTGGAGACCTCGCACTACACCCATGGGGCCTTCAGGGTCACCCACTGGGCCGGAGGACCTGTGTCTGCAGCTCCACTCCTGCCCAGCCAAGCACGCAGAAGAAGCAACATGAACACTCCAAGAAGTTTCAGTGTTTTATTAACAAAATCTTACAAAAAGTCTGTCTTTGGGGTAAGGTATACAGGGCCTGGACGGACATTTAAGGCCTGGTCTGTGCGGGGTAAGGGGCAGGGGTCGGCCACAGCCTCATGAGGTTTCCAGGGTCTTCACAGGCCAGGGCTTCCCCAAAGCCTGTGCCAGCCTGTGAGGATCGGTTATGGCTTATGTGCAAAAAAAATCTGTGGGGCTGGCAGGGTGTGGGCTAAAGATTTGTCAGAGTGGTCTGTAGGGCTGGTCCCCCCAGTGGACAAGCAGAAAGATTGAACCCTGAGCCAGCGCCTGCTCAGGCTGCAGACGCTAGTAGCCACACAGCACCAGGGTTCTGGTGTCGCGGCAGGGCAGAGTGCCTGGAGGAGCCCCAGGAGCAAAGGCTTCTGGATCTCCTTCCTGCAGCTGGGCTCAGGGCTGCCGGGCAGGAGTAGGAGCTGTGGCCCCAGCCTTGGGCTCATGAAAGCCTCTGGCAGAGAGATGGCCTGGCAGCGGGCGGGTTTCCCTGCTGGGAGGGAGGCAGGGCCCGACTCCTGCTGCAGTGGCTCTGGGGGCAGGCAGCTGGTGGCCAGCGGGGCGGCTTCGTGCAGGCCTGGCCCTCACGCTGGCGCTTAGGGCTAACTGGGGCTCCTGCCTCTGCTGCAGCTGACTCCTCTCTGTAGCACCCTCTGGGCTGTCCGGGACTTCGCCTCCCACGCAGGCAGCCTGCAAGGTGGGGTGTGTGATGCCCAGCACAAGCAAAGACTTGTGGAACCTTGAGACCTGAAAGAGAAGGAGAGAGGGCAGTGAGGGACCGTGCACGACAGTAGCCAGGCTCCACAGGGAGGATCTGGGGCTGGTGGATGGCGCTGGTCTTCCAGGGCAGGGACCCCCGACCCTGTCAGGCCTCCCAGCTTGCCTGAGCACTGGGGAGTGGCCTGGGCCCCAGGGTGTCTGGGGTCCGGGGAGGAGTTCATTTGGCCGGACAGCTGATGGTGGGGTCTGGGTGGGAGGGTGGCGCCCTGTTACCTGTTGTCACTCTCCTGGCTCCGATGGTGCCAGCTGCTGCCTCAGCCGGATTTGAGGACTCAGCCCCTCTGGGACCCTCCGCCTGCCATGGGTGAGTCACGAGCTGAGCTCTGATTCTTCTCCAGGCGGGCGTGAATCACTGGAGCTGGGGGAGAGAAAGCGCGGGTCCATGTGGAGCTGGCTCAGCAAACTGCCCCTGCCTCCCACCTGGCCCACTCTCCCTGATGCCCCCTTCCATGATGCCACCCCACCCCATCCCTTCTAACTTGCTGGGGGGCCCGAGCCTCAGTGGGCTCTCCTCAAAAACAGCCTCCGGGTCCCACTAGCTCTCAGATGCCCACAGTGGGTGTTGCCTTGGGGCAGGGGCTCACCTGAGGGCCAGGAAGCACCGGGACATCAGGTCTGCTGCTGCTGCCTCTGCAACTTCTGCTCTCCCCTGGGAGGAGGGGGAGGGGGCCGTGCTGCCCGAGGCTGGCCCAGCTGCCCTGGGAGGCAGGGAGGGCGTCAGCTGGCTCTGCAGATGCTGGGAGAGGGCGGCGGCGCCGGAACTCGAGGCTCCCTCAGCATTGGCTCTGCCCTAGCTTCTGCTCTGGGGTGTCCCATCAGCTTGGTGGCCGCTGGCCCCTGCTATCCGGACACTTGGTTTTCTGGATGCCCGGAGAGCCTGGGCATTGTAGCAGAATGAGGAAGCTGGGTGTCCTGTGATGGCCTGAGAGTGTGGAGGGTGGGGTCCAGGCCGGGAAGACAGACAGACGGAGGGTGATGGGCAGAACCCTGCAGGGGGGAGGGCTCTTTGATGCTGGGGTGCGGTGCCCACATCTGGATGACACGAGTGTGTGAGAGTCCTCCCAGAGCCCGAGGGGGCACCCAGCTGGACCAGGGCTTCCCCTGCAGGAGTCAGCCCCGGCTCAAAAGTCCTGGTGGGCAAAGCCACAGGCTGGATGTGGTGGGGCAGGCTGGGGGCTCCGGGATGCCCCTCTACTCGGGCTGGGTCCGGTCACTGGCCACGGACTCGCTGTTGGGGGCGGGCGTGAGGGTCTCCGCCTCATCCTCCGCCGGGACGTGGGGGACGGCAGGCTCCGCCGCCTGCTCCAGGTCATCCTGCACCTCCATGCCCCTCTGGATGAGCTGCTCCAGGGTCTTGGGCAGCGGGTGGCGCAGGAAACGCTTGAGCTTGGGCTGCAGGGTGCCCACCACGTACTGGATGATCTCCTCCTCGTCCGCGTCCACGTAGAGCGTCTGGTACAGGTCCCGCTTGCGCCACAGGAACTGGTCCAGCGGCTCGCCCTGCTTCTGCGGCAGGTCTAGCTCACGCTGGACGGCCTCTCGGGACAGCGCGCCCTCGCTGTACTGCAGGAACTCCCTCTTGAACTCCACCCAGTTCTTCACCGAGCCCTGCTTGAACTCCCACCACTTCTTGGCCGGCCCGTTCATGTGGTTCTGGATCTGGGACAGCCAGTACTCCTCAGAGCCGCCCACCTGCCGCAAGTACTCCTCCAGGTGGCTCAGGAATTCTCGAGGGTCCTCGAAGATCTGTGTGTCCACGCCAGGGCTGGGCTGCCCGTCCTCGCCGGGGACCCATGGCTGGTACTGCTGGGCCTCGGCGGGCTCCTGTCCGGGCAGCTCGCCAGCGGCTGGGGGCGGGGTGATGGCGTAGGGGCTGACGGTGTAGTCGTAGCCGTCCGCCTCGTGGCAGTAGCTCTCAGGACCCCCCACGCCCACGGAGACGGTGTGGCGGGCCGGCTCGCTGCCCACCGGGTACTTGCCACCGGTAGACTCCAGGCGGTCGGCCCAGCGCTCCAGGCGGTAGAACACCTCGCGCCACACGTGCATCTCACGCTTGACCCAGCGCTCCAGGTTGGCGATGGTCTCCTGGCAGCGGCACAGGCAGGCCTTGATGGACTTCTTCCAGCGCTGCGAGTCGCTCGTGGGCACGTAGCCGTCCAGGTTGCTCTCCAGCTTCCCCACCGACCGGTGCAGCCCCTTCAGCTCGCGCTCCACCTGCTTGGACACCTCGGTCAGCAGGTGCCGGTGCGTCCGCCGCACGTGCTCTAGCATCTCCGCCCGGCACTTCCCGATCTGCAGGATCACGTTGGGCTTGGCCGCGGGCCCGCCCCGCGGCCCAGGGTAGGCGTGGAGCCCGCCGCTTGTCCGGTGGTCCAGCTCCATCTGTGCGCAGGTGCTCGGGCAGGCGACAAACTCCTCGGGGCGGACGGAGGGAGGGCGCTGGAGTCCGGCGGCGGTGCCCGGCGGCCTGGGTCCCGTGTGGAGCTGCGGGGAGCGCCTGTCTGTCGCTGCGGGCCGGCGGCGGGGCTGGTGGAGCGCGCCCGGAGAGGCAGGTCCAGCTCTGCTGCTGCGGAGGGAGGACGCGGCGCCCGAGCTCTGCGCTGAGTCCCGACCGCCGGCTCTTTATGCCGCCAGCGCGGCCCGTGGGCGGCCGGCTCGCCGAGCCCCGTTTCTCATTGGCCCAGCCTCAGGCTCCCCGCCAGCGCCCCGCCCGCGCCCCTGCAGGCCCCGCCCCGCGCCCACTCGGCTCCTGGGCGGCGAAGGTACTGGAGGTCCCACCCCTTGCACACATGGAGGGGCCGGGATGACTAATCCCTCCGCTCCGCACCTCCCACCCCGGGCGGCGGAGCTCATTCAGCCTGCGGGGACCGGAGGGACTGAAGCCGGGCACTGGGAGCCCCTCCCACGCCCCCTCCCGGGCGCTGGGCGGGCTGTCATCTCCTGCCTCCCAGGGTCGCAAGGTGGGCTTCCTCCTCTCCACTCGCCCCTCTCTTTGGGGGGCTGAAGGGGGCTGGCGCTGGCCACTGCTCTCCTGGGTCCTCACTGCCCCTGACCCTGTCCGCCCAGCTGTGCAGGATGTGCAGCTCAGCCCGGGAAGGACCCTCCCGATCAGCCTCCTGTGCCCAGGGACTCAGCAACTCTACACGCACACATGTGAGCTCCTAGATGCGGCTTTGAACTCCCACCACCCCTGCCCAGGCCGTCCCGAGTCCAGGTCTTGGGCTCTGTGTGAGGGACACACAGCCAGGCCTAGGCGCTCTCTGTCTGACCCTTGCGTTGGTGTGCATGGTGACACCTACCCGTGTGGCTGTGACTGGACAGGGTTGCCCTGTGCCCCCACACCCAGGTCTCTGGTGAGGCCCAATACTTTTCTGTGTTCCCAGGGAAATCTGGAAGCTGCTACCTGGGGGGCTGGGGTTTGGAGGATATGGAGGGGACATTAGCCCCCAGTGAAGAGAACTGGGCCCTGAAGCCCCTGGCTATATCAAGAACCTGGCCAGAGGCTCCAAGACTTCTAAGAAGATGGAAGAGGGGAGGAGAGAGGGAGACAGGGAGGGAGGAGGAAGGAGGAAAAGGAGAGGGGGAGGGGGGAGACAAGAGCAGGGAGGAGGGAGGAGGGCCGGTGCTGGCAGCACAGTGCATCAGGAGAGGCAGAGGGAAGCCAAGCTCCATATAAGGAGCGGGGCTCCGGAAGCCGAGACTCCCTCCGGAGGGAGGCCCCTTCTGCCTCCCTGGCAACCTGGCGGGGGTAGGGACGCCCTTCCTGAGTTACTCCAGTGCTGGCTGGATAGGCATGGGTCTCAGGTCCTCTGATGCTACCCGGGCATGGGTGACACACACCATTCCCCACAGCCAGAGGGCCATGAGCACATCATAGCTGACAATCAGGACACCTTGTCCCCGCTGCCAGCTGCCCTTTCCCTCTCTCAGCCACATACATGCTGCACACTCATATCACCACTCACACCCCCACATACACACTCATAGCCCCACTCTAACTCCACCCCACACACTCATGCCCTCACTCACAGCCCCCCACACACACACTCATGCCCCCCACTCACAGCTCCCACACACACACTCATGCCCCCCACTCACAGCTCCCACACACACACTCATACCCCCCACTCACAGCCCTCAGTTCCCCCCTGTCTTATTAATACTCCCTGTGTTATTCAGGCACTGAAGGGCACACAGGTACCCACTTGCTGGAATCCCCACCCTCTGAGGCCCCCCCCACCGGCTCTCCCAGGGAGACCTCTCCCTGCCTCAGAGCCAGTCTGTCTCCTCCTTCCTTCCGCCCCTGGGGGGAATGTCTTTCTGTCAAAAACTCCCCAAAAATGGCTCTCCTGGCATTTCTAATTAAAGGTAAGTGGGCGGACAGAGAAGGGAGGGCGGAGGGGCACCACGGAGCTGGGAGCGGGGAGCCAGGCAGAGAAGCCTCCAGCACAGGGACCTTCCCACTGCTCCACTGCGGAATCCCGGGGAGAGGAGCTGGGTGGGCACATGCGGGACGGGCAGATGCCAGCAGCCTCGGGTGAGTGCAGCCGGCGGTCACCGAGGGCCACATGTCTGGGTTGGGGCCAGTCTGAGCCTGTAGGTGTTGTCTGGGTGCTGGGCACTGACCATGTATGTGTCCCTGTGAGAGCCAGCACTTCAGTGATCGGGGGCCAGCCCCACCAGGGTTTATAAGCCCGTGTGGCTCCTGACGTCCCCGCCAGGGCACAGCTCTTAGGCCTCTGGCCAGCAGTGGCCTCCAGCTGCCACCCCCACCTGAGGCATCAGCAAGCTGACAAGGAGGCAGGACTGGGGACACGTGAGCCAAGGTCGCAGGAGGTGCCACTGCCTCAGTTCCCTCACCCGTGTGGAGGGAGGCAGGTCTGGAGAAGGGTGAGTGCCCAAGGTGGCCTGGTGAGCAAGGCAGAGCTGGGCAGGAGCCAGCCCCTTGGTGAGGAATCCTGGTGTCCTCTGCTCAATGCCCCATGGCCTGTCACCACCCCGGTCACCTGCTGAACAACAAGGCCAGAAGTGGCCAAGCGGAGACCGGTGGGAGAGCACAGAGCCTGCCCTGGATGGCACGAGGGCAGGCAGTGTCGGGGGTGCCATGCAGAGCCCCATCCTCCCCTCCCCAACCCCCTCCAGCAGGGTCTGCAGAGGCTGTGAATGCTGGCCTGAGCTGACAGGTGACAGGCAACAGCCGCAGCTGCCGGGAACACTTAATCGCTGCCCAATTATCGCCCCAGAAGCCCTCAGCAAACCCCCGCACTGCAGCCTGAGGAAAGGAGGCCAGGCTGGCTCCCATCTATCTGGAGCGGGGGCCTCTCCCAACAGGGACCCGCCCTGCCCTCTCTCCAGCCCACCCGCACCCCCGCCCATCCCTGACAGCCACTGGAGCTGCATGGCTCAGGGGTGCAGGTGGGGGAAGCAACAGGGGAAGGGGATGGAGGCTAAGCCTGCACAAGGAGGTCAGGAGCACCTGGGGGACCCCCACTCTCAAAGCCAACCCGGTCTGCTGCTAGGTGGGTCTGACAGCTCTGAGGCCCCACCTACCTGAGAGAAAGGGTCCTGCAGGGCAGTGTGAGGTAGCCCATGACCCCCAGGTTCTGTTCACGGTTGAGATCTCCACCAGGCTCACAACAGCCTCAAAGGACCTCTTAGTGCTGGTTCCTGAGCCCCTGCCACCTAGGTCCCCAGAGGTGTGGGGGTACCTGCTCTGAAAGGCAGGGACCACCCTGTGCCCTGGACTCCCTTCTCCTTCTGGGGTGCCCAGCCGCCTCTGCTCCTGCCTGATCAGAGCGAAGGGAGTCGGCTCTCTCCCTGCAGCCCCAGACCGTCTCAGGCCTGGCTGACCCACTCCAGCAGGGCCTTTCTGGATTGCCAGGCTCGTTCACAGGACAGATGCTGACCTTGGGCATCCTGCTGCTCCCCCAGGCTGGCCCCTGCTGATCTCGGGTGCCGGAAGTTAGCGGCGGCTCAGCAGGGAGAGGCAAACACAGGCCCCTTCAGGCCAGAGCTCACGTCCCACCCCCACTCACACACATGGGCACACATATGGGCACACGCAGAGGCACACACCTCCCCCATCTCCCCTGCCTCCAGGCTCTGTCCTCTTTGGAAAGAACCCAGACCGCCCCCAACTCTCCCTTAGCCCCCCAACACCACCGTCTTCATAAAGGCCCTTCCTCACCTACCCACTGCTGGCCGGCACACACCTGCCCACCCCACCCTTTGCACACATTCCAGGGCTCCTGCTGTCCTTCTGTGTGGGCTGTGTGGAGTGAGGAACTGGCAGCAGAGAAGGAATGCGGCAGTCCTAGGGGTTGGTTCAGGCACCCGCCCCCCACATGTGACCACGCCCCAGCCTTGTGGCCTCATCTGTCACCACCCACTGCACGGTGGGGCTGGAAGAGAGGAACCAGGCTGCCCTATGCCCTCCGGGTGCCCACTGCTGGGCCAGGCTGCATGGCCAGACCTGGGGGCCAGTCTCTCAGCCACGTGCTCGCACTGGGTGTCCCTTGCTGTCCAGCCCAGAGCTCCACAGGCTACAGGAGCTGCTGACCGCCAACCTCGCTGGCTCCTGGGCCCAGGTATCCTCTTTTCATGTTGCCCTCTTCCTCACTGGCACAGGGCAAGGCTGTCCCAGCTGCCTGGCCTGGCTGAGTCCCTGCGCTACCCTACAGGTGGTGCCCACAGGTGAACACCTGAGTGTAAGCAGGGCCTGGCCCAGAGCAGGCACTGGCGACGGTCTGAGGCTCGAAAGTTTCCTGTTCCATTCCTTTCTAGCCAGGAAACACTGGAGCCTCAGCTTTCCATCCGTAAAGTGCGTGGCAATGCCAAGGCCTTAAGGGCTGGCGGGAGCTCCGGGGCTCCAGGAGCCTTGTCCCTGGCCTCGTGTCACCTGGTCTGGCGAGGTTTCTCCCAGCTGTTCCTGCCTGGAGCGTCTCATCAGCGCCACTCTGGAGCCTCAGAAGTGGTCAGGGGGGGTCCCGCCCTCAGCTCCTCGGGAAAGGTTCTGGGGACTTCCTCACCCTGCCCACCTCCTCTGTCCTCCGAGACCTGGCCAGCGCCCACCCCCGGTGTCACTCCTGAGGTGGCAGCACAGACCTGGTGACGAATTGCGGGAGATCTGGGTCCAACTGGGAGATCTGGGTCCAGGCAGCTGGGAGGACACCTGTGCCCTGCTGTCTTCATCCTGAGGGCCTCCTGCAGTGGGACGGGCCAGGGTAGGCAGACAGCAGAGCTGGGGTAAGGTCCCAGTCCACCTCCAAAGCATGGGCGGGGGGTGGTGCACAGCAGGTTAGGGTAGAGCCCTGGGGAAAAGACCAAGGAGGCGGAGAGGACTGAGGTGGAAAGTAGAGGGGCAGAGGAGAGGCTGGGGCGCAGCTGCTCCTGCTTGGCCACCCAGGTAGATGCTCTCGCCTCAGCTTCCACAGGGGTCCTTAGGGGTGGGAGACCCACCCCAGGCTGCTGAGTGGGCAAGTGACAGAGGTGAGGTCCTCATCCATCAACCCCACTGCCTAACCCCAGCTGCTGCAGCCAGACAGCCTCTGCAAGAGCCCTGGAGGGGACCAGGGTGGAATGGGGCAGGGGTCTTGAAG